GACTGAGAATAGAGTTCAGATGACATCTTACGTACTGATATTAAATTTTGGGGTCCTAATCTGACCCTAAACTGCCACGGTACTGTGTTTAATACTCTGGTAGCTTACATGTTATTTCTGCCCACCCATTCTCCCAGGGATGATCCACAAAGACTAAGAGAATATTGACATCAATCTTTCATAAAGGCTGGTCTCAAATCGAAGTTTTGCTCATAAGCAAGTAAGCAGCAATCACTATTCAAAAGATACATCAGGAAAACTTTTAAGAGTAATCATTATCTGTATTTTGATAGAAATTGCAATTTCCATCCCTGCCATATTCCTCATCCATTAGAAAAGTATTTACCTTTCCCCATAAGTATTTGGCTGGCAGCAGTCTCTGGTTAAAGAGTTTGCTGGTTGCTTTGGCAGGAACTCCAGTATAAATTTCAGTCAATACTAGATGACTAGATATCAGGCACACTTGGGGGGCCTGAACTTCAACAAAAACAGGAAGGTGGCTGGAAATAAACACACAAATGGTCTATTGTTATTGCTAATGAGATGCACTAGACATGCAACAGCATACTGGAAAGAATGATGATTACATTTATTTAGCAATATTAGCTATTGGATAGTTCATTGATACTCAACCCCACTCCGAGTTCCTGATACATATTTTTTAAGAGATAAAACTACCTAAGGTAAAAATCACACGTGAATCTTGAGAAGAAAACAAAGCAGAACAACGTTTTCTCCCCTTACCTTCCTTCTCCATTTTCTACCTCTAGTTCTAATACTGTGTGGAGACGCTGGCACCGCAGTGATGTGAAATGAACTGACACAGCGCATATACCCAAAGGAGGTATTACTCCAGCAGATGGTTGAATAGTAAAGGGAGATACCTAGGAGAGGAGAAAGGAAACAGAAACGTGTTTGACATCTGCATAGCAAGTATAAAATGCTGAAGCCGCACAAACTAATTAGGACTTGCATGTGTCTAGTTTTTCCTCAGACATATTCTTTTTCTCTGCCCCTGGATTCCCATCTGGGTTGATTTCAGCAAGCACAGTGCTAACTTTGTGAAAAGCTGGCTAGACAAGGAGGCAAGACTTTGCCTCTACGTGGACAGCTAATAAAAATGCAATGACTTAAGAGAAGGGTAGTCAGAGCTAAGGGCATAACAGTGATGCCTGTGCATGGGGTGGTGGAGAACTGGAAGAAACAGTCAGCCGCAGTCTCCTCCCAAGCAGAGGGGCTGAGCAGCAGCTATGCAAGGTGCCACAGGTTGGGGAGATTCTTGGACAGAAGGTCAAGGAAAGAAGGCTGTTCTGGAAACAGAAGGAGCACCAGTGTGGGGTGGAGGCTGAAGAGGTTCAGGAAAAGAAAGAGGTAGTTTTTATGCAGGAGGAATAGAGCACCTGATCTATGAGCTCCACTGGGACGTGGATGGGCTCTGGGATGACAAATTCAAGAGATAAAGCCTAAAATCTCTCTGGGATTCAGGGAATTGTTGAGAATGGCAGGGACAAAAGGAAAAACAGTGAGAAATAAAGGCTTGAGAACTGTGAGGACAGGGTCTCCTCCAGAGCATGCCTATCCCTAATCAAGCAGTTCTGATTTTAATTGTTCTGGGGAAAAAGGGATAGACATATAC